ACCAATGTTGAGTGTGTACAGACAGTGCTTTGAGTAAAAATAACTCATGGTGATCACAAAACCCAGATAACAACAAAAGGAGGCATCATCCACTTTTTGTTGTTTTGAAGCAGATCTATGTAGTACAGATTGGCCTTTAAATCACTATGTAGCCAGTTGAACTCTAACTTGTGGTGATCCTCCTGCCTCAGCCTCCCAAGCCCACATAGCTTATCCTGTTCTATAATAGTAAGTATGTGATAACTTTCATTTATGCTACTGACTCAGAAAGGCTTAATGGATTGGGGGGGAAAGCCTGGAATTTATCCTGGCTTTATGCACAGTAACAAAATCTCATGCCAAAACAAGTCTGAGGAAAATTCCTTCCAGGTCCAAGGTTTCCCAAAAATTTCCCAACATAAAGGCATAATGTCATTTTTCTTTACAATTAAGTCCCAATTATCTTTCATAGCATCCTCGTTAAGTCCTTGAAATGTGCTAACTGGAATATGCACACAACTGTCTCACAGTCAGTATAACTGGAATATATGCACAGAACTGTCTCACAGTCAGTAGACAGGTAGTCTTGGGGGCTATCTGACATAGTCTGAATTCATTTAATAAGTTTGTTTCCTCTAAAACTCAGCTAGTCAAGAGAGCTAGTATGACGACTATACAAACCCAAACATGAAGCATTATCTGACTTTTAGGAGTGTAACTATTATCCCCCAAGGGTCTGCAGACTGAAAGATTGAAAACCACAGTACTGTATCCTCTCAGGAAAGATTTTTAAAAATTCTCCAGTCAATTTTCCCATCTTTATCAGCAGACAGATTATTCAAGACAAGTCAGAGAAAATTTGTGAAGCCTTTCTATACTAAATGGCCGTGGTCCAAGTAATTAACTTGAGACTACTTCTCAAGTTTAAGGTTAAAAAGAGTTGGGATCACCCAGCTCTGCTCTGCTCTCCAGGAAGGCATTTTCTTGTGGCTTACTAGAGCTACAAGGAAGATCGCACTTTGGTAAAGGGGAACAGGAAACAGGGAAAGTCCATAAACAAAGACTTTCAACTTATTTTGTATTTAAAAAAAAAAAAAGTAAGACTAGACACAGTGGGAGGGCCAGGGTTATAGCTTAGTGGGGCACAGTACCTACCTGCCAAGTGTGAGGTCCTGAGTTCAACTTCCCGTATCAAAATAGATATGGGGGGGACACTAATTACTAAGATAATTATCTACAGACTGTGTTAGCAAGGTATCTGGTTTAATTCAATTCATCCATAAAACAAAAATACAGAATTTAGATACCTATTAAAATATGGCCACTGAACTGGGCATGGTGACACCCACCTGTAATCCCAGCACTTGGGAGGTTGAGGCAGGTGGATTGTTCCAAGTAAGATAACAGTCTGGGTCACTAAGCAAGCTCAAAGCCAGCCTACACTACATAGTAAGACCCTGTCTCAAAACAACCCACCCCAAAATGTCCATAAATCCTTTGATATTGTCCCCTTCAGAGATGGAGCTAAATTTCTATCTCCTGGTGTTCAGGCTGGACTTGGTGCTTTGCCTTTGATACGATGGTGTGTGGCTTCCTCTTTGCTCTGGCTTGGGTTACTTACTTGCTTCAAGAGAAGCAAACCACCACCCCCATCTTGTAAAGCTACTCACCCTGCCTCAAAACAAAGCAAACCAAAAAAAAGAGAGAGAGAGAGAGAGACAAAGAGGGGCAGACAAAGAAAGGGAAAGAGAAGGCAAGAGTAGGAAAAACGATGTGTATTCCTATGGAGGTACAGAGATTTAAAACAAAAAGTTCCTTAAAGCACAGGGAATTTCTTGAGGGACTATGATCTCAGTAACCACCAGCTATTAAACAAGCATTTTCTGGGGGCTAGGGATTTAGCTCAGCGGTTCAAGCTTGCTTGTTAAGTGCAAGGTTGTGAGTTTGATCCCTGGTACCAAAATAAATTAATTAATTAATTAAACAAGTATTTTCTGAAAAATTTATGACTAAACCAATGAAAAGGCACTCTTCAAAGTACATCTTTTCTGATGTACAGCTTGATATAAAACACAGAGGGCATAGTACCTGCCCTAGACTTTGCGGTTCAACACGTAAAAATATGCCATTTTCCTTAAGTTGCACTCCTCACAGAATTTAGTGAAAAGCCAGCTCTGACCTATCCATTTATTATTTCCTATTACTTTTCTTTTCAAAGTTAAAGGAAATTTTATCTTTAATCTGACCACACACTCCACAACTCTTCACCAAACTAAGGAGGAAAAAAGGCTAAGTACAAAACTATTGTTTTCTATCCACTGTTCAAGTCTCATGGGAACTACCCTCAAACAAGTGAGTGCGTATGTTTAGGGTTTTTTTTTTTTTTTTTAATCTAAGCAGAACACACATCAAACCTTTCAGCAACACAAAACTTTGCAAAATACCTTTGCGTAACTTGATGCATTCTTAGATTATCTGCTTACTCTGTGATTTTCTTTGAAGTAAAATGTGTTAAACTATTTTTGAACTCCTAGTTTGCCATATACATTTTCAAGACCCCAAAATAAACTGGTACAGGAACATCAAAAAGTGACTTAACTTCAGATTATTATTACTTATCCAGAGCATCTGTGCATTTCTCTAAACAACTCTTATTTGAGAAGTGTAGCTGCCTTTAGCCCTTATCCTGACTTTCAGCCTTTCTCTACAACAGCTGATTTCTCCCTAGCCTTTACAGAGAAAATTTATATAGCTCTCCTTATAATGCTATGGCTTGATGACAGTCACGAAAAATCCAAATAATCTGCATACTTCGCAAAAGTACACCTGCCTACACCTTGAGAATCAGCAAAAAAGCAATCTAGTTCTAAATCCATAAACAGGTAAGCATATCTGTAATCTCAGGAGGTAGGAGGCTGAGGCAGAAATGAGCACCAGGAGATCAAGGCCAATCTGGGGTATAGTTAGTTTAAGGTCAGCTACCAAAAAAAAATTTATTTAAACCCAAAGCAGCAACTTTTATGAAGAACAAACAGGATGCTCTTGACAAGCTGGTTCTTTAGAATAAAACTTTAGTTCTGAGCTTACCCTTGTATTTCTTCTATAAGCCTATATACAATAGAATATCGGGAAACTAAAAAAGTTATTTGTCTCAGGGCCAATTGCTCTAAATACAGACAAGTTTCTACTCAATGCCTTCATTCTAAAATTTCAGTGTTGCTCACATTTCTTTGTAGTTTCTCTTAAATCAGTTCATTCCTCACACAAGTACTCTAATTGAAAAGAGTTCATAACCATGGTCCAAAAGAATTAAGAACGTAAGCTTTAATCTTAACTATGATTCTCTTACCATTAAGAACGTAAGCTTTAACTAACCTTAACTGATTCTCTTACCAATCAAAATAATTTGTTTTCCTAATAAGAAACAGAAGCCACTCTAAGGAACCTCCATGCCAGTAGTTGAAGGCTAACTTTGATGTTTTAGTGACAGCACACTAGAATATTTACTCAGAGTCACTACCTGGTAGACGTTTAACCACTCAAGTCATTTATCTAGAGCTCATCAAAGAACAAGAAAGTTCAAGGCAGGTATACATTGAATCTATTATTCACTTAGGGGTCATGAAAGTTACATAGCTTTTTTTGCCTTCAAAATAAAATTAGTCATCAGTAGGTGTGACTACAACTGGATGGTTAAACTTCCAAAAATGCATGCCTTAAATCCTACACATGTTGTTGGGCTTACAGGTACACCAGCACTCAAGAAGGCTGAGGCAAGACAAATTCAAGTTGGAACCCAGCCTGTAACCTTAGAGACCCCGTTTTTACAATTTAAAAATTTTTGCCGGGCATGGTGGCACACGCCTGTAATTCCAGCACTTGGGTGGAGGCAGAAACATCATGAGTTTGAGGCTAGCCTGGACTACATGAGTTCAAAGCCAACCCGTAGTACACAGTGAAACTCTGCCTCAGAAAATTTTTTTTTTAGTTTTTATAGGGCTCAGGATGTACCACAAGGGCCTGGGTTCAACCCCTACTACCACCAGGAACAAAACAAACCCTTGATAGGAAAACACAGAAATCATTAAACCCCCTCATCAAATACAAATTTCTACTTCCAAAGGAAACGTAGAAATTCTACCAAAATGTCAACAACAAAGAACTTAACTTTAAAATGTTAATAATCACAGAAAGAGAATACCTAACTCCCCTACCATGTTACCCTACTTCAGGAGTTTTAAACCTAATGTGACAATTCTGGAATCCACTCTGCCAAAGACCAAAACTGTTCTCAACCATGAACTGAATTATGTGCACCAATACTTCATAAATGAAAATCTAATTACTAAATAACCACCACACTGAACCGTAACACCACACTCAATTCGTGTATAAACACCTCCACGGAAAGCAGAAAGGTCCTACTTCAGGACTCTAAATAACCTCTGGCGCCAAAAAGACATCAGTGAACCACAGCAGTTCCCTGGTTCTACCTTCTACTCTGTGCTGAACACCAAAACTTAAACTCACAGAGGGAAGAAGTTAAAGGGACAAAAGGTGGGGACCCGAGGGCTGTCAAACAGCGGCTGGCCGAAGGACTCGAGCTGCTCTCCATCCGTACCCCGAGCGCGGGGAGGATCCGTCCTACCTAAAGCGCTATGTAAACACGGGGCTTGTGACTCAAGCCTCCGGCCCGGGCGCTGCAGCGAAGTTTCCTCGCCGCGGCCGCACATGGCGCGCAGAAGTTCGGCTGGAGCCGCGGCGGGCGGGTGGGCGCGGCGGCGCAGGGAGAGCGGCGGGCGGCGGCGGCGGCGGCGGAGCAGCAGGAGGCGGAGGCGGAGGCGGGGAGCGGAGGGGGAGGGGAGCGGCTGGGGGGCGGAGGGGCTCTTGCCGCCACTGCTCTCTCGCCGCCTCTTCCCCCCGGCGGGAGCCGCTCGCAGCCTCTTTGCACTAGTCGCTCCGCTCTCCCGGTCATGTGACCTTAACGTAACCGGACAGGAAAAGCCCCGCCGCCGCCGCCGCCGCCGCGCCGGAGACACCGACCGCGGCGGCAGAGGCAGCAGCAGCGAGCAGAGGCGGCGGCGGCGGCGGCTGGGAGGACAGCACGGCCGAGGCGCCCCGAGCCGCCTCCTCACACGCCGCCGCGGCGGCCTCGGCGACAGGTAAGCGCCCGCCGCCGCCCTCCGGGGCCGGTGCCCACGTGCCGCCCCCGGCCCGGGCCCCGGGGTTGGGGGGCGGGGGCCGCCCGCCGCGCCAACGGTTCCGGCCGCGGCGGTGGCAACAAAGGCGAGGCGCGACCCGGCCCGGGCCCCGGCAAAGGCAGGCGGAAGGCCCGGCCCCACGCCCCGGTCTGGGAGGCGAGGGCTGGGGCGCCCCGGGGGGCGGGGGCGGCCGCGCCTGGCGCCGGCTCTGGCCGCCTGACAAAACCACCCCCGGAGCCAGGCGGCGGCGAGGCGCGGCGCGGCGCCTCCATCCGGGGCTTTGCGCGGGGGGAGGGAGGAGGAAGGGGAGGGGGCGATTCACGTTCCGTTCCCCGCCGCCGGTCCCTCCCTTCCCGCCGTGGCGGCCGGCGAGCGTCCCGCGCTGGAGCCCAAGAGGCGGGCCCGTCAGGTGCGTAGTCCTCCGATCGACGCCTCGGGGCGGCCACCGCTGCCGCTGCTCCTTCAGCGGCAAGGCCGCGACCTGCGGAAGTGGGTTTGGGGGAGGGGAGCGAGGGAGGAGGGGGAGGGGAGGGATCCGGTCCGACCGGAGCAGGCCCGGCCTCTCTGGCGCTTCTCCCAGCTGCAGCGGCTCCTACAGCTGCTGCCGCTACGGCTGCGGCTCCGCCTCCCCGCTCGCGGGCGGGGGCGCGCACGCGCGCTTCCGGCTTCCTCGGGTCTCGCGCTGTCTGCGGCTCTCGCGCGCGCTCATTCTCTCTCCATGGCTGGGCCACCCGCTCCCCCGCCCCCGGCGCCGGGGCTGTGGCGCCTGCCGGGACGTTGCGCACGGCGTAGGCGTCGGCACTGTGTTTAACTCCGAGCGCGCTCACGCACGGACGAGGCTAAGGGAGGCGGCGAGGCCAGAGTGCGTCCCCCTCCCTTCCTCTCAATCGTGGAGGTGGGACCCTGGAACCTCGGCCCCGCCCCCAGACAGGCGCCCGCCCCAGGGGGCGGGGTGGGGCCGGCGGCCATTGGGCGGCTGCCGGCGGCCCGGCTTCCGCTGGCCTGCGAGCTCCGCCGGGTGTGAGGTCGCGCTTCCCGCGGCTGCGCGGTGACTGACTGGCTTGGGGACGATTCCGGCTGATGGTTCTCTCTGTGAAGCTAAACCCCCAACTCATGAGTGTTTTAAGTAAGGCTGCGGAGAGAGATAAAATTATTAAAGCCAAAGCAAGGTTTTTGTCGCTTTAGCTGATAGCGAATTAAAAAGCCTGTTAAGTAGAAATCAAGGGTAGCAAGAGCCGCAAAGTGATAGAGCGAAGCTAAAATAGTTGCTGCTGCGCCCTGAATGCGAGGACTTCCGCCCGACTGCTGAAACTGCTGTTTACACCTGCCTCAGGGAAATAACCTGAGCTTTTTTTCTCCCATCCGTCTGCATTTTCATTTGCTCTTTCACGAAACAATGGCCCCCCCCCTTAGGGTATAGATAGGGGTTCTATTGATTTTCATGGTTGTTCGCAAAGAAATGCAAAGAGAAGGTCGGAATTTCGGGCTCGCGTAGCTCCAGGGTGGTCTGGATTTGCTAAAGCCGGCTGCTCCGTCCTGCCTGTGCCAGAACAAACCTGAAGTTGTATTTATAAAATTAGAACTAAAACATCTTAATCCTAATTTCTTTATTATAAGCCGAAATTAATAAGTAAAGGGATTTATTTTTGTTCTTGCATTCTGAATAACTGCATGTCCAGGATGTTTGTAAACTTTAATTGTTAAGAATTTATTACTAAGTTACATTAAACTGGATGCTTCTTGTTTAATAAACTTGAAGGTTATGTGTTTGAGCCAAAGAATTGACATATTACTGACACATCTGAAAATACAAGAAGCATACCAGTGGAGGAGTCGCCTTCCACTGAGTGTTTTATTAGCATTCTAAAACTGTCCTGTACCTCACCAGCTTATTTGCCAGTTAGAAAACTGCCGTTCAAAATGGATGTAAATAGATTGGTGCATACTCTTCCACTGTACGGTGAATCCTAAACGTGATTTAAACGGCAATAAAAGCGCCAAGGTCTTTTTTAACATCTTAAAGATTAATACGAACTTAGCACTGGCCTCCAAAGTTTGCACTTTTCAAAGATCACCCCTAAGTAGGCACTGCGAGTAACCCTAGGTTTCACGTACCCACTGCAAGTCCCAGAGGCAGGAAGTGTGCTTCCCCAGTTGGAAGGTTCCCAAAACACAAGAGGGAGGAAACACCTCAGGCTGAGATGTGACAATGAACTTGCTTAGATATTGAGGACTCTCCTGCTGTCTTGTACTGTCCCTTGGTGCTTTATCTCTAACCCTGTTCCTCGTGAGAATTTTGGAAAGTGGGGCAAATAGTTTTGGACAAGGCTGGCCCAAGAGACCGTGGAAAAAATTGATCTGCTGGAGCTTTTACCATAGATTCGCAATGCACCAGGTAAAAGGACATCATCACCTTTCCTGTTTCCTTGTGTTGTTTGTGTTTCCAAACACAACTCACAAATTAAAAGCAAATTGAATTTTTTCTTGCCTGAAGGGAAAAAAATTGTTAGAAGCATTAAATCCAGAATGTTTTTTAAAAAAACTTTTATTATGCGATTGTAATTTTTATTAACAAATTACGGTTGAAATTAAAGTACTTCTATTTGATTGTGAATAATATTTTACTAGGGTTTTGACAATTCCACCGCTACTGTCATTAAGATGTAAGATCAGTACCCACAAAACACTTCAGGTTGCAGTATTAAAACTCCAGCCATTCTTTCATGGGAGAAGCAAAATTAGAAGCTGGTATTTATGCTCAAGCACAAAATCCCCAGTCCAAACGTTTCATGCATTTTTGTTCTCAATTTCAGAAAGTTCAGCATGCAAAAGGAAAAAATTTATAAAGCACTTTTATGCAATATACCCAGCTGAGTACTGTTTTTTCACTTTGCAAGAGATTTTAGTTACTGTCCCTTTAAATCCTGTGCATCCTTTAAATTTTGTACCAACAAAGGAGCAGAATCATCTTTTAAAAAAAAGAAAAAAGACACTTGGTCTCCTTGACCAGACTGGTTGAACAGTGAGTGTTTAAGTGGGGCCACCTGACCCCTGTGAATTCCCAGGAACATGGCAGGAGTCCCTAGATCAAAACTTTTTATAATATAATTACAATAGTAGTGTCGTTTCAGTTTGTTGACAGTGGGAACATTTGCTTAATTCATAGGATTTTCCAGGTGACCAAAGGATAATGTTAAAAATTACTCACAAGTAAAATAGCACTCAAATACATCTATCAAGCTGGGAATAGTAGTGCATGCCTGTAATCTCAGCACCCAGGAAGCTGAGGCAAGAGGATTACTAACAGTTCGAGGCCAGCCTGGGCTACAAAGTGAGTTCAAGACCAGTCTGACCTGCATAATGAAACCCTGTTTCAAAAAAGACCAAAAATAATAATAGTAATGCATAGATCAGTGAATTTACTGAAACTAAGTAGGAAAAGTTCATTCATTGCCACAGATTTAAGTTGTACAGCTAACCTTTAAGAAATTTCTGCTTGTCAAATTTCAGTGTAGCATCAAAGAAGAATATTCACAATTACCTGAATTTGCCACTACTAAAAGTTTCTCTTTCCTAACTTCATATGTAGATGAAGCTAGATTTTCTTCAGGACTCAACCAAGACAGATACCACAACAAAACCAAAAAGCAAAGGCAGAGTCCAGTTGTCTTCTATTAGAGAATTACAAAAGTACAAAAAGGCTACACTTCACTATATTTGTTTTTGAAAATTATTTTTCATAAAAATGTTATTGCTGTGTAATTTTATTTTAATTGAATTAATATTTTTGCATTTTTAATTAAGAATGAGTTACACACATTCACCCTGAATCGATCTGTGGATGGCTATATTTTGTTCATATTAGTCGTCATATAGTATATAAAAAAGGAAATCAGTCTCTACTTGCTGAGTTAGTAGAAGCAGATGAGGTTTTTAATTTTTACTGAGTATTATCATATAAAGGCTTCCTCAAAGTTAATTGTACCATAGCACCTTTAGAATTATCACCTTGATTTCAACTCCTTTGTTATACATAAACCTCTAACCTACTTCGGCTAGACTCCTGAACCCTGTCCCTGATCTGCCCCCTTCTGACTCTTAACTTATATTCAGAAATTGAAAATTAGTTTAAAAATAAACATAAGCAAAATATAATAGAAATGACATCTTCAATTGCAAATACTCTGCTTTCTGATACGAAAATGAATGCAAGTAGTTTATGCCCTTCTTTTTCTATTGACTTTTAGAAGAGAGTTGATTTAAGAAGTGTTAGGGTGGGGCTGGGGATTTAGCTCAGCAGCATAAGAACCTGCCTTGCAAGCAGGCAGTCATGAGTTTGATACCCAGTACCGATTAAAAAAAAAAGCTAGTAAAAAAAAAAGAAGTGTTAGGGGACCCCAAGGGAGAAAGAAGTGTTAGGAAAAATGTAGCATTCTATCATCACAACTAAATAAGATGCACTTCCTACCTGGGAGTTGGGCAGGGGTTTTGTTGGGTTTTTGGTACTGGGAATTGAACCCTCCACCTTGAGCTTGCCTGTCAGCCATTTAGGCCACTGAGCTAAATCCACGGCCCAGTTGGACAGTTTTAAAATATATTGATGCCAAGCATGGTGGTGCAGGCCTGTAATCCTAGTACATGTGAATTTGAGGCCAACCTGAACTAAATAGTGAGACCCTATCTCAAAAAAACAATAAAAATAATTGAAATTCAAATGATCTTTCTCATTCACATTTACTTTATGATCCTTCCACCATTAATTTTTAATACTGCTAATTGAAAGGGCAATTTCTACCCAAGAAAGTAGTCTTAACTACTTGAAAGAATCTATCCTACTTATGAGTAATGATTCTTCTGTTACTGATGTATTCTGTGCATTACAGTATTCATTTAGGCTTCATTTATGTAAAATCAAGGACTTCAAAAGTGTCTTTGAAATGGGTAACCTATCCTCAGGTTCA